TCTAATCACTTTCAGACTCTGTGACTCATCTGTCTCTGAAGTTTGCTGTGTTATCACTTTCAGCTCTATTACCTGTTTTCACATGACATCACTAGACCTATATAGATTAATGAAGAGGGATGGCAGATTTTTGCTGGGATAAAGTTCAATCATGGACATCAGTTTGTGTCAGTATTTGTGGATGTCTCTGATGGATATTCCTGTGTAAAAAAGCAAAAACACATATACAATGGAACTAATAGAGAAATTTTATTAAAGAGATACAATAAACAGCCATTAAGGCCAAGGCCTATTTAAATCTGTCTTACCTGTTTTTTTCTGATTGTAAAAACATATTTTTTGATTAAGGTAAGGTATGCTGTATCAGGGGCCATGGGTGACTTTAGAGATGTCACTGAAATTGGATGTTTTGTATTATTTTATTATTCTATTACTTCTAAAAGACTCAGAAAACCTGGTCCATTACAGCTTTAAAATAATATAAGTGCTATAGCTAACAGATTTCATTGTACTGTAGAATTGGGTTGTTCAGCTTTAAATCCCCTATCTGGACTTCTGTAGCTCCATCTTGTACGTGTATATCCTACCAAAGCTCTCTTTTTCCTGGCACTGTCCCGTTCAGATGCAGGGGTGTGTTCCCATTTCCTTCCCTTCTCTAACAGGCTTCCTCCATGACTTCCAGGGCCGTGTGTATGTTGGCAAGAGGCTCAGTTCTGTACACATGAGCTTTAGGTGTGTAGGTTTTGTGTGAGGCGTGCATGGAAATTGCAGTTTTAACAGCTCTTCGTTGAACATATCTGAGGTCAGCCGTAGATAAAGGAGGACAAGAAGCGACTTTCCCACGCAGTGATGTCAGTGTGAAAATCCGACCACGCTCCAGATATTTACTGTAGAGTTTTATCGCACCTCGTGGCTCTCTTTGTCAACAGGCTGTTTTGACGTCAACTGTTTAGCTAGAGTTGTTGAAGGTTCACTATGTAACTTTTCTGGTGGGGGTTTTGCCACCTGCTTGTCTACGTGGAGTTGTTATTGTTTAGCCATGAGTAGTGGCATTAGGCCTGTACATCTCCACAGAGACAGCTGCTCACATGAACGTTCAGAACCTCCAGGATTCACTCACTGAGCTGCAGAGTAGGCTCCAGGTGCTCCAATCCAGATTTTTCTGTTCTGATACCGATGTCGATACTTTGACTTTAAGTATCTGCAGATCCCCATAATCAATCGATACCAAGACAGAGACAGAAAATAGACTTTATTTCCTTCAAACACAAAAAGCATAAGGAAGAAAAAATATCCAAAGGTGTTTTGTAATACAGTAGAAGTTTAATATTATGAGATGTTTTGGGCCAACATTGACCAGTAAATTGTCTTATTACACCAGTTCAGAAGCCAAGATGAGATATGGTTTAAACGAGGGGTCTCCAACCTGTAGCTCGGGAGCTACCAGTAGCTCTCCAACCCCTTCCAATTAGCTCACCAAGGGATTTCTGAATTATACATATTGTGCTGAATAGCTAAAATTGGATTGATTAAAAGCCTATTACCACTGTAAATGTATGATTTCTAAATAAACGTATAAACATCTACTTGTACCCTATCTAAGGCCGTGGCTCTTAAATTTACTAAATTTCTTGTGACCGCTAAAATGAGGAGCTCTTTGGCATTTTCATTTTGTAAAAGTAGTTCACCGGTGGAAAAAGGTTGGAGACCCCTTTACACTGACTAGAATTTCCACTATTGGCACCAATATCCAATACCAGTATCGTGTCAGTGCATCCCTACTGCAGAGGCTGCAGAAACACTTATTAATGATGGCTGCAGGTGCTGGAGTTTAGGTAGTGAGGATTCAGATCTGAGAGGGGCCTTTTAAGTTTAAACTATGTGAATTATAACTCAAACAACTCTAATATTTTTATAACTAAAAATAAATCAGCATTACTACTCAGTAAAATCAGTGTTCAATTTGAACATGTCTGCCTCATAACTGGAAACACAGGTAGGTCATGTTTATTCACTTTTTATTTATAAATCTCAATCTTAGATCCTGTCCCTTTAAGTACGTGAAATCCTTGTGGCACATCTGCTTGACCCACAGACAAACAGGTGGAAGGGTCATCGTTTTGGTTCAGACCACGTACACATGGGCAACACAATGGTCAGTCTGTGTGGTTAGCACTTCTCTATCACTGATGACACACCAGTTTTGTTACAACACAGACTTGTTTTTCACTTTGTCTGCTCGTTGTTTTTTTGACCCCAACAAATATGGTTAGCCACTTCAGCTGATAACAATAAAATCCTATTGAACTATTTCATAATCTGGATAAAGGAGGAATTTGTGCTATTTAATGAATGTAACACTAGAATCAAGAAGTCAATGCAGCAAGGAGCTTAGATATTAAATATTAATCCTATATCAGACATTTGCTGTTGTTTGCCAACTACTGATATGTCGTAACTTTTGTCTTTAAACTTTAAGCCACTAGCTTAAAGGTCTGAAGTGTTCCACAGTATGGCATTAAAGGTGCATTGCATAACTTTTCTGGTGGAGAGTCCGTTACCTCCTTATTGCTTAGCCTGGAATGTTCCATGGTATGACATTAAACGCATCTATCTAGCATTTATTCATTACTGGTGTTTCTATTGCTCAAAAATACAATAATGTTCTCTGTGAACAGGCTTGCCTCTCCACAGATCTGACCTATAATTTAGCATATAATTGTATTGTCTAGTTGCTATAGACAAAGCAATAACATCTCCATGAACACAAGCAGGTCACAGACATTCCACCAGAAAATTTGCACAATGCACCTTTAAACTAATCTACCTTTCATTTATTCAGTCACATGTACATAGGTGTATTTAATGCTGAAATACATGTACTTTTACTATGAGTTGGCCATCTTCTCCATGGATCTGACCTGTAACTTGATCTGGTGGTGGCGTTTCCTGCTTGTTTCCATGTGGATATTTCAGTTTAATGCCATATGGACCATTCACCAGAAATTTTACATAGTGCACCTTTAAATCTCCTGTAACTATATTGTTACTTTACAGCCTGTGTCCTCTGGCCTGTGTCTTATTTGAGGTCAAGAGCTTGTTTGTGTAAGCAGTCACCATAGCAACACAATGGGACGTCCGATAGGAGCTGTCCTGCGCCCCCGCTGCTCTCCTGAGAAGTACTGGAGTCGAATGCACTTAACATGCTCCCAACAGTGAGATAGTCGGGCCATTTAAACCCACAACTGTGGGACAGAGGTGACTGGGGTTTTAAATTTAAACAGTTTTGTATAAATGGAAAAACAGAGCGTCCAGACATAAAACGGGAAGGATTCCATCTAAAAGCAACCAGTCCACATAAACAGAGTCATGTGCCAAGTTAAATCCATCTACAACACCATGGCTTTATGGTTTAAATAGCTATTTCCGTAAAATCGCTGTCTCCTCTCCGTGGGTTTTCCATTTGGTGGCGCCATAGATAATCGTCTGCCTCCTGTTGTGCATTGATCTACAGATTGATTTGATATGTGTTTTAAACTGTCCAATGCAAGCCTTTTTGGTACAGCCATGGTTCATATGACTAGGAAACATCGCATGAAAGCATGAAAGAGTATAACTGACAAAACTGGGAAATATTTACTGTACTACTACTACTGTGCTTTTCTGTGAAGTGGAGTGTGGACTCTCAGTTGAAGCAGATGCGGTTATCACTTATTTGGCCCAGGTCACCTTTGGAAAATTTGTTTTTAACCTGCTTAAATGAAGCTTGATAAATACAGGCTCTATAAAGCTACTTACCATTACTTGTGATAAATTAGAGAAAAATATGAAAGAAATGTTTTGTCATATCGCTCATCTAAAATAAATAAACTACAGAGTTAGTTACATTTTCATTTTCAATAGTCCCATTTAACAGACTTTAAACTTAAATGAACTAAAGAAGTTGTTCTGATGTAAAAGAGCAAAAATATAGTGTGGCAGGCCGTATGTTAGCTTGAGTATTTCAGTTAAACTTTGTCCCTAAATTACTTGGTCTTTTCTTTCAAACAAAACAACTTGCACAACCCACTTCACAGCGCACGTTCTCCTTAAGCAGCCACAAAACACCAAACAATCCTCCACTGTAGCCCTCTGTGCCGCTCTGAAGGAAAAACACCATCCCTCCTTGGAAAGAAATGCTTTTCAACCTTTCACAGAAAAACAGCATGCAAAACATATTTTCTCCCGACTAAAATTGTTTCCACACTACATAGTCTTTCAGCTGGAGGAGTTTCGTCTTTTTAACGTCACAGAGTGAAATGACATTATGAACAAAGAAAAGTAGCATTGATTTTCAAGGCAAAGAAACCTGCACAAATTGGTGAAATACAATGGAAAAGAGAGTGTATTAGTACAATAAGCTGCTTTTAAGGCTGTATTTTCCATGTCTTGGTTCTAATATTGACAACCTTCTACAGAACATTTTAATTTGATTTTTATAAATGTAATTATTATTATTTAAACTTACACAAAATGTATTGATCCACAAGGGAAATTACTTGAACTTAGTAGCTCACACATCACAATATATTATAATAACAAAGAAGTAGCAAGAAAGATCGCAAGAGACTGGTGTGAAATAAGGCAGTTTTGAGTGGATCGATACCAATCAATATGTTTTCTACGACTAGAATGACCCTTAAATCTCTAAAAGTTCAGATTTAACACAAGTCTGTCTTGTTGTGGATGTGCTGGGTGTCCAATCCCTTAAACTTTACAAATTATAAATAAAAAAAAAAAAAATCTCTAAAAGTGATGATTAGTCTAGTAGTAGTGAAGCATTTGCCAAAATACCTATGTTTGAATATACACTGTTAATTTATGATTCTGTTGTCTTAAAATGTGTTATATTGTATAATGCAGCTAGTAAAACATATAGAAATAAGTATATTTAATAAATCACAGTTTTAAGCAACAATCAAATCCTAATTACGAAGAATATATTTCAACTTTTACTCAAGTAAGTTTCTTCCATCTTGTTTTCTATGCATGCTTCTCCCTTTTAGTATGTGGAACAGCCGTGAAGATTTTTTTTTTCCTCCACGCTGATGAACAATGTTGCTGTAGTCTTTGCATCTGTTGCTTTGAGGAGGCCTGCTATTTATCAAGTCAAGTCTGCTGGGACCTTAAAGAGTGAGAGGAGAGAGAGTCAGTATATAGGTTACCCCCACCTCCTCAAAAGCCTCTCCCCCCTTCATCTCCTTCTCTTTATTCTGGAGACATGTTGTTTGTGCAAAGGCTATAACTCTGAGTACTGACTGTAAGAGGGAGGAGTCATCTTAGTGGGTCCCTGGGGTCCCATAATCAAACACAGGGTGATTTTTGCCTAAGCATCTGGTTCATAATATTGTTCTTTTCACTGCTCAATTTAAATTATTTCACTTTGCCTGTAGCTTTTTAAGAATCCAACTTCTCAGAAAGATCACATGAGAGGAGGAAAGTCGGAGCTGGGGCCAAACTGCTTCAAGCAGTAGTAGCAAGCTTGTTGTGTATCTAAGCCTTGCATAACATGGAAAAGTTATGTTTGGTATTTTCTGGAGTCAACACATGCATACAGTACACTATCTGAGAAGATTGATCTGAAGTTAGTCATGAACTGTATACATTCAGTCAAAGGGTCAAATTCATTCTTCTTCTTCGTTAAAAATAGCTACTGGAAGTTGTTTTTGTAGTTGAAAAGTAGTTATACTGCCTATAGTCTCTTAGTATTACAAAAAGTTAAGGGAGGCAACAACCTGTCCTTATTTTGTTGATGTGGTAGTGTATTTCTAACTGGTTATTTTCCAGGTTTTAAAGTGTTTATGGCAGATTTTCACACTTCTCTCATTTTGATTTAGTTTGATGGGCTTAATTGTTGTAAATATAAACTATAGTTTTACACAAATCAAGAATCAATTTACAAAGAAAAGTAGAAAAATATGTTGAAAGTTACAGGAAGTGGAGAGTTTAAATATATGGATGATATCACAAGGAGAATTGTATCCAAAAGTTATGCACAACAACACAGTTTTCTGATATTTTGAACATTATTTTAACAAAATAAAGTGTGTTCTTACATTTGTATTTATCAGATAATAACATCTGTAACTAGTCTTTCTTGGTAACAGTTAACTCCCAGCTTCAGGGATAGGAACTACTTGCTTGCTTCAAAATGTTTCCATCTAAAACTACTTTTATTATTGAAATATAAATACAAAGCTGTGTTTGTGTGAGCCAAGACAGAAAACAGCTTTGTAAACTGAAGGTTGATAGTGGGCTGGCTGGAATGTCACAATGTTACCTTTGCCAAAAAGATTATTTTAACTGACGTCGGTTTGTTGTCACAAGTTGTATTTTTGATCAAATACAAAATACAAATAATGTACTATTCTAAGAAGAGACAGGGTTTTATAGTATTGAGAATTAGCAGATTGCAGACTAGATGCACCTTTACCTGTTTTTCCCCAATAAAACCTTATATTGTTAGATGTATACATGTACTGTAGGTCTTATATTCAATCTAGAGTTGGTGTTATATTTAGTTTTTTGTATTACATGTTATTATTTTTAGTTTAAAGGTCCTATATTACACAAAATGTTAGTATGCTGTTACCTTATCAAAAACATACCTTAAATTGAGTTTTGTTTCATTCACATGTTTGATGTAATGGGCTAAGTATGGGCCTTAAGAATTGTGCTTTGTTGCTGGCAGTCCGTCTTGACCATTGAGAATTCCTTTTCCATTACATCACTACAACTTTTCAGGCAAAAATATATTATTGACCAAACAGACAAACCTGTAAAGGCAAAAGAAAAGCCAAAATGAACCATTACACTGTGTCAGGTGAACTACATCAGATTATACCTAATCCATGCACACACAGTCTACCACACACCAACCATAGTGACCCACTTAACTGAAAACCAATCACCTGCTGGTTGTATTTCACTTTCCTTTGACCCTTCTGTCATCCGTCCTGATCCGTCTTTTCTTTTACAAACATGTTTTCAAGGAGGAGATGTAGATCACAGAGGGCTCATTCATTCTGAGGTTGTTTTCTGTGCTGTACATCTCTTTACATAAGTGTACAAATAGCTCACATGCCTGTCCTGCATCTGCCATCCTGCCTTGGCCAATGGCTCCTTTATTTTTGTAAGATGACTCCTGCTGAGGGTTAGTCACCGCAAAACACACACGCCTGGAGCAGAAAATAGCCCAGGTGTAAAATACAAGCTTGTTCTGCTTATAACAAGTGAGATTACAGCTTTGTTCAAAAAAGTGGAAAAAGTAAGTGCAAGTTAGTGGACTCAGCTTTAATTTGTATATTTTAGGGGTCATGGTGAAACTGAAGAAAACATCACACCCATAATAGCCTGTTTAAGTATTTGAAAGATGTTTCTATTAAGTGATATACTTGAGCAAAACAAATTTCCTGCTAGTAATAAAAACTTTATAACTAAGTACTATGTATATATGGAAAACCTCACATACTCAGATGGCCTGGCAATACAAAAGCCAGCTGGGGGCGCTAGCACGGTTTCTCCTGGTGCATTGAAAACTTATTTAAGAATAAAAAAGCAAAAAAGACTCTTAAGAGAGAGGAGTCATCTCAGTTAGTTCCTATGGTCCCATAATCAAATAAAGAGTGACTTGGCCCAAACATTGTTCTTTTTATTGCTCAGTTGAAATAAATGTTACCCACTAGCTTTTCAAGAATTCAACTTCTCAGAAAGCAGAAAAACACAATGGTGGTCAACTGCATTAATGTTTCCAGCTTGGTACATTTGACATAAGGGTTTCTATATGAACTGCTATGAGTAGTCAAAAACAAAGGCTGATACTTAAATACTTGTCAGGAACTGGTCTAGAGGATATGAAACCAACTTGTTTTTCTTCCCAAAATGACCTTTCCCCCACTCGTGCTCTGTGGTTTACCTGTTTGCCTGTCCTCTTTGCAACCAACAGCTAGTCTAAGTCCACACTTTTACTGTCCATGTGAGCCCAATAAACTTTATGTGTTTGGCTCAATTTGCAAATAATCAATGTCCTGCTCATTTCCTCAAAAGTTATAGCTGAGTCATTCCTTTGTGCTCAGTGAAAGGTGTCTGCTCAGAGGTGGACGGACATAGACACAGCCCCTCCCTCCTCCTGCCCTATCCAGACTAGAGTGTCAGGGAAGGGAAGAGGAACATCTGCTGTCCCAGTTGCCCAGTGACTCCACAACAGGCTCCCCTTATGGCTCAAACCCACTGTCCATTGTCTGGTCTATGGACACAGTGCAGAGTGTGCTCTAGTCCTTTTGATGTTTGAGTGTTAGCGTGGCTGCTTTTAATGTGGTTTGTGTTGGTCTAATGTATAGATCCAGGGTTTGAAAAGGAACAATACAAGTCTAAATATGTTTAGCTGCAGGACGGCTATAGGGGTGAGGCTGCAATGCACAATACACATGCAGCAACAGAACTTTGTCAACTCCATGACAGCAGTACCAGTTCTAAGGATTTGGTTCTTTGATCTTAACGTTTTTTTTGTTTTTTGTTTTTTATTGTTTGTTCTCCGTTCATATATTGTAAATGCTTCATTGTCACAATATTAGCAAATATAAATCCATAGCTTTATAGAAATACATTTGGCAGTTCTTTTCTACTTTCATCTACAGTCAGCCTTTAAAAATTTACTTTTTTAACCAAATTAAAATATACATTGGCTGGTAATTCTGAATGTGTTCTCATTTTAATTAGAAAGGCACCAATCCAGCTTTTTTAGTTTCGATACTGACTTCGATACTATAGCTTTAAGCATCTGAAAATGGCATTTAATTACTTTCAACAAAATAAAATGAGACAGAACTCATCCAAATGTGTTATTTATCTTTCAAGCAACTATATAACAAATTTCACAAATTCAAACATTACATGACTTTGTGGACTGACTACAACCAGTGCATAGTCTAATTACATCAGTTACATTGTCCAACCAGGATAATGGCTGAACTGATATTTGGAAGCCAATATCCAATCCAGCACATTTTTACTCTACCAATATTGGACCGGTGCATCCCTTAAGTTTCCCTTAAGTTAAGTGAAGAACTCGTAATTAATTGGCAAAATTGTCAACCTACAACATTCATGTCATGTCCATTATATGTGTCACATTGCATATAACATGGTTTTGCTCTTATTCTATCACATGAAAGTCAAAGGTTCATTTCACGAGCCTGCTCCTGGAGCTGCCCTCTCTAGTCTTGCACTAACTGTTTTTGTGTGTTTGCCTCAAGGAGAGCCAAAGTATTGTGTATTGTTTTCCGGTGGGAGATGTGTTCTGAACAGCAGGATGGCCCTCGCAGGGATTTGAGCTGAGTTGGCTAAAAGGAGCCCAGGTTTATTTATCGGACCAAGGCCAAGGCCGCTACGGAGGGTTAGGAGAATAGGTTTCCTCTTCAGACATGTGCGCACAATCACACAAGAGCTGGGTATTGTATTCAGTATTGTTAGAAATCAGAAAGGGTGATAATGAATTGGGTCAGTTGGTTTATCTGGTTCTGTAATGCTTTTGAATAAAGGAGACACTGACTCGTGGTTCTTTCTGGGTTAGTTTAGAATTATGTATGAAAGAAAATCATTCTTCAATTTATGCAATACTGGATGTTTCCATTGGGAAGAAAGCCAACTTTGGTAATTTTTACTTATTTGTTAGTCCCATTACAATGAGATGGTAGTAATTGAGTAGTAGTTTGTAGTATGTTTACCAGCATACCAAGTAGATCATTTGATATTTGTTTATGTTTAGAAAGTACTTAGCAATGTTTTATAATGTATAACTATTTTTATTGACTGTTTAGCCATTAATACTTATATTCACAGTATTTAGCACCATATGGATGTCAACTATAATACCTGAATACCCCTAACTTACTGTTTTGTCAGCAATTAAAATGTTGCCCCAGCTCTAACCCCAGCCGAAGTTTAGAGTCAAATCAGCATCTAAAACATCTCGTTCACAGCGATGAGATTATATAGGAGCGAAGGTACGACTGGCATGCAAAGCTGGAGGAGATTTGCCATAGTGATAAATAGCACAAACCTCATAACTAACGACATAATGTACTGTGCCACTTTACACAGTAGTCAGTGAATCAACACTGGGCTAATTAACTGTCTGCAAACTCCAGTATCTAATTTAGAATCTTGTTTATTCATCTACATCTTAACTGTGCAGTCATATTTTAAAGGTGTAATGGAAATGTTATTGCTGTGTCTAAAATGTTCCACAGTACAGATTAAACCTAGCTATGACGAGGGAGACAAGCATATGCTGCATTACAGTTCAGATCTGTGGAGAGTTGCCCCTATTCGCAGAAGGAATTATTATGTTTTTGAGCAACAGAAACACCCGTAATGAATAAATGCTAGATGGATATGTTAAATGTCGTTAAATGTCATACCATGGAACATTCCAGGCAAAGCAAAAAGTTTACCTTTAATGCAGTAGTTTAGTATGCTAAATGAATATGCAGTGTTCTGTGCAAAATAACCATCACAAAAGACAACCATGAAAAGTAAAGGCCTACATATGTACCCACTGTGGTAATGCACATAGCAGCAGCACACATCCTGTCGACTGCACCATCACAGTAACATGCCACAAGCTATACATTTCTAAGTCTGAACGTCATGCAGATTTCAGGTTCAGGTTTTGCCAACTGTGTTTTGTTCATAACACCTACCACACATGGTTTATGAACAAGACATATACTGAAACTGAGGACAAATAAAGGTTCATACTGTAACTTTCCATGAATATGCTATTGCTTTGTCTGTAATGTTCCACAGTATGGCATTCAACTTATCTGACTTGCATTTGGTCATTTAATCCTGTCTTTTTTTGCTTAAGAAACACCACAAAAACATGTCTTCTCTAAGCAGGGTCTCCTCTATATATCTGACCTGTAACCTGGCCTTAAGAAGTCAACTGCTCATCTCCATAGAGGTCTATATGTAACAACTCCATGGTGACAAGCTGGTGGTGGACACTCCAGAAAAGTTACATCTTGCACCTTTAAGTAGCTATGTGATTTTCCATTTCATTTTGATAGAACAAACTAGTAACTATACATACTGTAGGCTATTTGTTTACTTGCTTGCTAATGTTCAATCTGTCTCTTATTGAACAGTGGCTGTAGTTCTGAGGTGTGTGCGTTTGGTGTTGAAGGCAGCAGCTATTATCACATTTAGACAGTAACAGAAGGTTTGAACACTGCTGTGGCGGCTCTAATCCTATAATGGGCTGACACTGCACTCAAACTCCACACAAGACAGTCCCCTGGGCACAAAGTGGCACAGGGGTCTGTCTCTGATGATGTCCTGGGATACGCTGTGTGTCCCATTTGTGCAGCTCAGGTGAGTGGGCACAGATAGGTAATCCAGTGTACAAAGTCATCGATTTAGGCGCTGTACAGGAAGTGCCTGGTTATTGATTATCTGGGACAGTGATGTCACTCCAGACGGTGAAGGCTGTTTACTTATCCATGATAAGGTGCTGCTCAAATAAGGTGCGCTGGCTCCACGCTCAGCGTTTATCACTCTTTCCATTTTGACATTAATCCAGAATGCCCTCTGTCACCTCGGCCATTAGTGTGACATAATCAGTGTTGGGAAGGAGCAGGTGGCTCAATTTAATACAATACAACACATGACAAGTACATTCTCTATGATCGAAAAGGTGCTGAAATATATGAACAGTACACAATATAGTGCCATTTTCCTATTGGCCAACTTATAAAAGTATAACTTTGTTATTTGTAACTTCAGATGACCCACTTTATAATCTTTTCTTTTAAACTTTGTAAGACATGTTTTTAATGCCTTTCCAAGTATGGAGACTATATGTTGTGCTTTGTTAAATGTGCTTTGTTCAAAATAATGTAACTTAATTTGAGTTGTACTTTGGCACACACAGTCATACATGTAGGTTTCAATAATGTTACGTAGCTGTTTTTCATGAAAATGACATGAAGTACAAGACAATCTATGTCATACCACTGTGAAGCAGGAAGCCATTGAG